CTGCGCTCGAACTCGACTACTGGAACTTGGTGCCGATGGCGCATGTCGAATCGTAGCTGTCGTTCGGGTCGTTGATGTCCTGATGTGTGAAGAAGAAGATGAAGAAGAAGAAGAGGATGATGAAGGTTAGGTGAGGAAGAAAACAAGTTGCACGATCATCACTTCGCTTCTGGAGTAATTCTCGGTGCCATCGACGGCGTACCTTCTCGCCAATGCCGACGGCGGTGGCGATCCAGAGGCCGATGATGGCCACCGCCAAGCCCACCTGCACGACCCACAGGCAGATCTTCACCACCAGTGGCGGTTGCTGATGCGCCAATCACATACGGACAGACGAGACATAAGTTCGACGCCACAGTGGGACCGACCACAGAAGTGCGCGGTGCGTACCACGGGCGCTCGCTTGTTCATCCAGGGGATCTTGTTCTCCGGCGAGAAGTCCTTCATCTCCGTGCTGCCGTTGTCGTCGTCGACGCGCTGGTAGGTGAAGCCCGGCCCGCCGAGCCACGAGCCCCACGGCGCGAACCACCGCAGCACCTCGTGGGCCAGGAACAGCGCGATCATGCACGCAATGCTCACACCGTACGTCACCTGCGTGAGCGCATGTCGTGCAGGTGCGATGGCACGCATGTACGGTGTGAGACCACGGGCTGGTCGAGACGTCAATTGCCATAGGTGCGTGCGCGTACCATGACGTAGGTAGGAACGCAGTAGAGAGCAAGGCCCAGGTAGATCTCGACCAGGCCCAGCAGCACGAGCGCCTTGCCGAACCACGCGTGCGTCAGTCCGATCAGGTAGCCCACCCAGTTGGGGTCGCGGTCTGTCCGATCGCAGTCGCGACCACTCGTGAGTGAGCCACACAGCCGGAAGTGGCGTATGCAAGGATGTGGCGTACATTTCTTGAGGAACAGCTCCGCGATGACTCCAACGAGCGGCAAAAAGAAGGCGCAGATGAACACGATGATGCCGATGATCTCATGCGCTGCACTCGAAGGCAATTGTGTGCGTGTGCGTGTGCGTGTGCGTGTGCGTGTGCGTGCGCGTGCGCGTGTGCGTGTGCGTGTGCGTGTGCGTGTGCGTTCAGCACGATGTTCTCAGTGGTATGTGTGAGATGGTCGCACCTCCTTTGAAGTGGTCGATGTCCCGGTCGCTGACCCAGCTCACGATGAGGGCGAAGGCGATGAGGTTGACGACAAAGGTGAGGATGCCGAGGAAGCCGTGCAGGTGCACCCACACATAGCCGTACAGCACCCACTTGCCCTGCGGCGTCTTGCAATACCTGGGGAGGCGCCGGGATGAGCGATCGCGCTGGGCTTGCGCGGGGGGGGGGGCGTAGTGGCTCACCTTGCGATGAAAGCGCCGGCCACGGCGAGCAGGCCCCAGGCGAAGAGCATGAGGATGCCGTGCGCCTTGCGCTTGTCGTCGGTGGAAACGCCGGCCGTGGCCCCTGTAAGGAAGTCGACCGTCGCCAGTCCTTTCTGTGCGGCGTAGACACACACACACACCACACACCACCACACACCACACACACACACGGAGGCGCATTGTCAGCGCCAGTCGCTGACCTTGGCGCGTATTAGCTTACGGCGTGAGAAACCGAGAACGCACCGTGTTGGAGGCGTGTTGACAGAAGTCAGGGCAGTCGCGCTCGACCAGGGAACGCTTCCCCGATGGCGCGTCATAGGCCCACAGCAGTTTCTGTGCGTGCGAGTGCGGGTGTGCCGCGGACAATCTGCGCGTTAGCTTACGCCCGATGCCAGGAAAGTACTGAAGTGAACGAGTAGCAGTCAGCGCCGCACCTGGAAGCTGCCACCGATCACATTGTCGCCCTGCGCGTCGCCCGTGTTCAGCTTGCGCCGGAGCTGGCATGTGGACCATCCATTCACACCTGTACCATCCGGCGCGCGAGGGAAAGTGAGTGGCGAGTATGCCTCGGCACTGCACGATATGTGCACGAGCGAGAGCTGTGCACGTACTCTCAGCGGAGACGAGTTCGACGTTTTGCACCGCATCACTCCCGGGCGTTTCGTGTGCCGTCGCCTTCCGGTCGACCACGACGCCAGTGCCGCTGCGCAGACACATGCCAGGAAGGGCCGGATTAGTGTAATGAGCTATGACGGCGTGAGGGCAGGCGAGCTAACCCGTTGAAGGAGCACCACATGATGTCCGCTCCCACCATGTTCTCGTTGTTGTTGATGCCGAGCGCCCACCACGAACTAGTGCGAGCCGACACGTTGAACTCGATCGCTGGTGCGGAGGCCGTGTGAGTCTCGAGAGGGAACGGCAAAGGAGAAGTGCGTACAGTCTCCGTCGTCGATCAGTGTCCAGTTGAGCCGCCAGGTCTTTGTCGGATTCTCGTAAAAGTTGACCGTTGGACCCGCGGGCGTGGGAGCGGAGTCGTTGCACGCCCCTGATGAGTGCCCGCATGATGACACGTCAGCATCGCACTCCCAACAAAAGACCAGGGTGTGCAAAAGTACATTGTGATTGGCCGAACTGGATGTACGTGGGGTAGTTGGTCCCCGCGATGTGCATCTCGAATGTATCGATGTCTGTCGGCAGCTGCGGGGTGTACAGCGAACGAGAGAGGGTCCGTGAGCTCACGCCATACCGCACGCGGCGAAAGAAAGAAAAAAGGCAGGGCTGTTGCAGCAGTCCATCATACCGAGTTGCCGAGGGCGTGGATGACATACTGCGGCTCATCGGGGGTGATGTCGCGGTCCTGGGAGTCATTGGTCACGAGGAGACGTTGGAACTTGACCCACTTGTAGCCATCGATCTAGTGGAGTACAAGAGAAAGTAATGAGTGTGAGTGTTGTTTGTCCTCACAACCGAAGCTCAAGGTCGGCAAACGCGAGCGTACGGAGCCAAAGGACCGGTTCAACAGATGACTTGTTGCGTCTCGTATGGGTCTGCAGGCCACGACAGCTTTAGGATGTGACAATGCTAAGAAACGAGAAATTGCGTACTGCTGAAGGGCCGTGGCCCGGTAGTCAAGCACACAACCGCCAGGACCCGCGCAGGCACCGATGTCGCCCCCGATCCAGCCGACCCATACGTCCGAACCGTCTGCGCACGTAAATAACCACACAGGTGAGCCAGCCAGCCCTGTCGGCCATGACGTCCAGCAGCATCGCAGAGTGGCGGGGAGAAGCGTACTTCCGCTGCTGTCCATGGACCCATCGGTCGAGATGCCCACGCCCATCCAGCCATTGACCTGTGGGAGAGTTGATGAGATTCTCCGGAACCATCAACGGGAGAGAAGGAGCAGCGACGGCTGCCAAGGTACGTACCTTGGCGGCCAGGCCGATCTCAATGTTGTCACCGACAATAGACCAGTACATCCTGGTGGGCACACAAGCAGACACGCACGCACACACGAGTTGGCCACAACTGCAGTAGCGCGGTAGCGCGAGCCAGCGGTACCTGTAGTCGTAGACCGACGCCTGGAGCTTCACGCAGTTGTCGAAGTCGGTTTGGTTCCACAGCGAGAACGTTGCGGCTGCACGCAGAGCAATTATAATTAAATAATTAATAAAAATGAAATATTTAATAAACAGCCAATAAAACCAGCACGGAAAATGCCGCAAGTTGGAGAAGGGGGATTGGGGGGGGGGTACCTGAAGCGAAGTCCAGGCTCGCCAGTACGACGACGGCGACAAAGAAGAACGAAAGCGTCGTCCCCTTCATCCTTTCTTTACCGACGGGAACGAAGTAATCAGAAACAAAATCAAAAGGGAAGGAGGCAGGGGACTTGCTCCCTGCTGGTCGTGCAGTTGGTGCTTGCTTGTGGAGGACTACGCCAATGGCACTCCGCTAAGGGGATCCGGGAATGGGCCTTTCCGGTCGGCGGCGATTGGGCGGGCACACACCGCGGTGCCGGAGGGGCGGGGTGGTCAACCGCCTCGCTGAGTCAGGTCTCGCCAGCTCTCGAGCCGAGTACGGAAGACGGAAAGGAAGATGGTGATGCTTTATCAATCCACAGTGACGGGATGGATACAATAAATAGCGCACAGAAGCGACAGAGAGGCAATGAAGCTGCAAGGGGGGTGGGAATGCTGGTGCTAGTAGGTGAAGCCACCTCCCGAGAAGTCCAACACCTGGAGATGATGAGAGGAGAAGAAGGGGGTTGATGAGAGGCCTGTGACATCCACGTGGATCCATCCATGGTAGACACATCACACGAATGGACGAGGCTTGGCGGATGGTACCTGCTTGGGGCTGAGGCCCATAGCCCAATCGGCATCGGTCGGCAGCAAACCCAGGTTGTAGGCCTTGTAGGCGCCCAGGCCGAAAGTGAGGAGATTGATCGCAACGAAGACGAGCTGGGGCAGCAACAGCTCGCTGCCCAACTCAGCGAAGCGCGCAAACTCTGAGTGTGTTGCAGTGCGGTTGCGTTTGAGAGTGAGACAACAGCGCGGAGCCTTTGTGTGCGCTCATTGAGAGAGGGAGCACGTACCGGATCGCACGGACACGATCGCCTTCAGCGGGTTCGCAACGGTGTAGAGGGTGATCATGATGTTGAAGATGTTAACGCCGCTGCCGGTCATCCACATCATGAACAGGGTCATGAAGATGCTGCGTCCAGGCGCATAGGCCGCCTCCCACGCTTTCTGGGGGGGAGCACTATCAGCAAACTGTCCATTGATGCCGAATCTGCACAAGATTTGGGAGGAGATGGACCTTCTTGAGAAGCTCCTTCATGTTGGGCGTGGCAGGGGCATTGCCCTTGCCTGCGCCAGTGCGGCTGCCCGCCTCGCTCGAGACTTGCACATCGCCTCTGTAGCCCAGGGGGGCGATGATTTGTCCCGAAGATGATGTCGATGAGGAAGTGGAGAGGCTCACTTCTCGCCTCGTCTGGTACTTGTCCTTGGACAAATCAAACGCCCATTTCCGCTCTTCCTTCTGCATCTTGGTTCTGATCTAATTCAATTGCGAGGTGGGCACTTTTCCTTTCGTTTCTTTCTTTTCTTCAAAAATCAGCAGATCCTCCATCTCGCAGATGATCTTATTTCATCTCTTGCGTGGCAGACGGCGACTTTCATCTTGGCCCAGGAATGCGTGTACTGGGGAACGAGTGTTTCAGTTTTTTCAATGTTTTTGGTTTATGATCGGCTTTTGTTTCCCCTCCCGCGCCAGATGATGTGAACAAAACAAGTGAGAGCTTAGGCCTTCGCCTCGGGTCTGTAGACACCCACGACGACGGCGTGGTCCCTCTCGTAGGGCTCGAGCGTGATCTGCTCCATGGGCTTGAAGTTCTCCTGCCTGAGCTTCTGCACCTCCTTGGCGAAGACAGCCTCGGGGGCGGCCGTGGAATCGATACAGTTGGCCTTGATGGAGATGACGAAGTGACCGCCGTTCTTGAGGAACTGGTGGGCGTTGATGGCCACGATACGGGCCTGATCGGGCTGGGCAACATCGGCAAAGACGACATCGACCATTCCGACGAGCATTCGGTACTTGAGGGGGTAACGGGCATCCTCGACGATGGGGACGACGTTGGTCCTCTTCTTGGCGACGTTGATGAGATCTCGGCCCGAGCGGTGGGAGAACTCAACAGCGTACACCATTCCTTGCTGCACATTTGGACGAGGGGCACAAAATTAGCAGCTGCGGAAGATAAAATCTCGGAGGAGATTTATGAAGGCATGATAGTATGATGGAGGGAACACGTACAGGTCCGACCATGTCGGAGACGTGCGACACGGAGGTACCGGAGGCGGCACCGAGGTAGAGGACGCGGGCGCCAGGCTTGACCCACACGTTCTCGACACCACCGATGATGGCAGCAGCAAGCTTAGAGCGGAAAGGATTCCACACCCTGTACTCCACCTTCGATCCATCGACCTCCTGAAGGTAGTCGAACGAAAGAGGGCCGCGATTAATTCACTGACCGAATGGGGGGGGGGCGCAATTTACGCGATTTCGGCACTAAAAGGACCGCGGAGAGATGACCACTGAAATTGAATAAGGGGGAGTGTAGAGGCTACGTACATCGACAGAAATACGCTTCTCTCCGTATACGGAGTCTCCGGGGACCAAGTTGCGCGTGCAAAGAGCGTCCTCCTTGCCTCGGGCGATGAACACGCCGTCGAGTCTGTGCTTCTCGATGACGACCTTCTTGCCGCCCCTCATGCCACCAGCTCCACCACGTCCGCCACCGCGACCGCCACCGCGGCCCCTGGAGGCACCACGGCTGCCACCACGGCCGCCACGATCGCCACCGCGACCGCCGCCGAATCCTCCGCGACCGCCACCACGGCCGCCACGATCGCCACCGCGACCACGCGGGGAGAAGCCACCACCGCGACCACCGCGAGGAGAGAAGCTCATTCTATGTGTGATGAGAGATCTGAAATTGAAAGAGAAGGAGGCCGCTGACGGAGTGTGGTCGTCTGCGCACGGAGGTGAGGAAAGAGAAATACCAGACCTCCGAGCTTTCTTCTCCGGCCGTTGGGAGGGGGGCGGAGAAGGCCAAGAAGGGAGAAAAAACCAGGGAATGCTTTGCATTCCGAAAATTTGTCGACAAATTATCGGCCACACCACGGTTGCGCACCGGGAGGGGCCGCATTGCGCAGGCGCCTGGTGGAGTGCTGTATGTGATATCGCCCAACTTAAGCATTCTAGTTTCGCCGTTGTTACAACCTCTAGCTTGACCGGCGAGCTCATCGCCGTCGCAGGTCGTATGATTCGCCGGGCACGTCGTAGGAATCGTCTGATCGCTCCCGGCGGTTCGAGGGGTAGGAGAAGCCAGTGCCTCTCGGAGGCGTCGGCCAAAACCACATCCACATGCTGTCTCCCAAGAAGTATCTGGTGGCACAGGGTGACACCTGATGTCAGCAGAGCACCAGCGAGTAAAGGCGAGACCAGGCGAGCGAACCGGATGTTGGCCATCGTGCCCAAGTCGTAACGGTTGTAATCTTCTTCGCTCTTCTTCGGTCTCCTTGCGCTCGTTCCCCATGACATTGCCATCTTGGCCTTTGCCCCCCCCCCACAAAGAAAGAGAACGAGTCAATGTTTCAGAAACGAGAAGAGAGGAGCGCGCGAGCGCGTACCAGGAAGGGGTTGGAGTGCACGGCGAGGTAGTCGATGAACGTCTTGTTGCGAGCGATGAGTCGGACGTGATCGTTCAACAGGAACGCCTGGAAGAAGACGAAGACGCCCAGAATGCAGGTGCTCGCAAACACTACTCAAAACGCAGTCGTGTCAGCCATCACAAGGACAAGCCCGTGTGTCCGCGCATACATTACCTCGCCAGTTGGCCGTCTCCGCCGCTGCAGCGAAATCTTCGGGCATGGATTCATCCTGTTGGGGAGGTTGAGTGAGAACACACTTTCACCTCCTAAGCTCACTCATTGGGGCGGTTGCGGGGAGCGAACCGGAGATGGCAGCTGATGGTAGTGCTGGTAGAAGAGGTAGAGGAAGCTGGAGCAGGAAATGAGGCCGTAGAAAAGGAACAAGAGGAAGTACTTGGTGTTGTGATAGCCCACGCAGGTCTGAATCCACGGGCCTTGTCGTTACGCGCGGAAAGTCAGCCAAACCGCCACTTCGTAAATGGAAGAAGAGGAGGCATGTACAGTGGTGATCCATCATCAGTACACATCTGCACAGATGATCAAGGAAGAAGTGTGTAACACTTAGTATCGAGTTGAAAAGGACGACGACGACGAAGAAGAGGGATCATCAGTACCTCTGGCAGAACTTGCAGTGGTGCGCCCTCTCCGGACGGAAGGCGCTGCACTTGGAGCACCACAGCACTTGTCGGCCCGCATGTGCGTCCTCTAAGTCCGCGCTCTGTGCAATATCACATTTCAACAATGAATTAATATATAAATATTATTTATTAAATAATTAAATTAGAAATTAGAAAACTACAATATAAATGTAAATATCAGGTACCCAGTCCTTGGGCACGTAGCCGGGGCCGACGGTGAAAGTGAGGTAATAGGTCCACCAGAACATGGCCAACGGGAAGTGGAGTGCCGCAAGGAGCAAGATGGACAGCAGCGAGATCGAAGAGGGCTCGGAGTCTAGTTCCGATAAAAGCAGCGGAGACGAGGATGCATCTTCGTCTGCCGGGAGAGAGGGTGAAGCGACGGAAGATGGGGAAGCAGAAGATGGGGAAGGGGCAGAGTAGAGCCAGAGGGGCTGCAGAAAGATGTGTCGCCACGCGTTGAAGTAGATGTAGATGAAACAGGCAACGGCCAGGCCAAGGGTCATGCGGCCAGCCAAGGCCATGAACAAGACCGCGCGGTCATTCCCTGGGCGCTGCACCGAAAGCGGCAGCCCCGAGCTGGTGCGTTCTCGTCCCATTGTTAAGTAATTGTTTTTTTTTAAATGCCCAGAGAATAAAAGAGAAAGTCCTCCACGCCCATTGGCCTTATCTAGTTTCATGCAAGTGAGTGCTCCGCCTACTGTGCTGCAGGGAGTTCAGGGAGACGAGAGCGCCAGTCTTCTGGCAGGCCGTCGTCGCCTTCGTTGACAAGCTCCCACATGCGAGCGGCAGGCGGTGGTGGCCGGCGGTCGCTGCCGATGCAGACCAAGATGGCGTGCAGCAGCTCTCGCGGCAGGGCGCCAAACAACCCTTCTTCGTTCCCCTCGAACGCCTCTTCGCCTTGCTGCTGTCGTTTCGATTGCCACCGGTGGGCCACAAGAATCACCGAGCGCACTTCGATGTGCAGCTGTGTGGGAAGCAATCACAAGTCAGTGGACACCTTGAATGGCAGCAGAACAACAAAGCAAATCAGAGTTGTGGCGTGGTGCCTGTGGGTCGACTGCGATGAGGCTCGCGAGCTGGGTCATGCCCGAGCAGCGGCGACCGGAGCGCATGTAGGCGCGACCGTGGTCGGTTGCAAAGTGCCAAGTCCACAAGCGGGCCTTGGCGCGAGCGCCTTCCTCGCCGTTGGTGGCCAACTCGTTAAGCACATCTCCCACCTGCCTCGTGCGTAAAAGTAAAGCAACGTCATCAGCGTCCGGCGCTTTGATTGCGATGAGGCGGAGGGAGCGGTAGTAGCTAACCTGTAAAACCCCCCCTTTGAGCATCTCGCATGTCTCCGCGCTCAGCGAGTAGGACTGGATCTGCTTGATGAAGTCGCCTATGATAGGCGTGCGGACCGAGCGCGCGGGACTCCATGAAACAACCCTGTGTTCAGAATGCGCCGCCACGCGTGGTGGCCGAATCAGCTGATCGCCTTGGCTCGGTACCAGAAGAGGAGGTTAAGGAGGAGGGTAGAGGGGTACGGATCGTAGCCGATCACGGCCGTGATGCCCGCCGGACCCACGGTGGGGTGGTAGAGGGGCGTGATAAGCCGAAGCTGGAACGGATGAAACGGATAAGTCTGGGGGAAGGCTACGCGCAGAAGGAATGCACCACCTGCCAGGGCGCGTTGCACGTGTAATGTGGGCGCAGTAGTTAGGACGCGGTCCAGCAGGCAAGGCGAGAAGGGCAATGAGCGTTGTACCCTCGTACGAGCCACCGGGCTCAATGATGAGCTCGGCCCAGTCGGTGTCTTTACCCACCCGCCACAAATGCACGCTGTCCTGCAGCCAGCTGCAGATGTCGGTCCTCTTTGCACGCTCTTCACGCAATGCAGGACGCAGCGCAACGTTACGTTAGCGTGCTACGGGAGACAAAGCGCTGGAGCATGGAAAGGTACCTTTGGATGACCCAGCGGTGGAGAAAATGGAGGTGCAGTCACCAACGACGTCGTTGGCTGGGTCGGGGGCAGGGGCCAGGGGGAAGAACAGGCCGCCCCTGAGGCGCACCACCACATGCAGTCGGGAGCCGCTGTGGCGCAGGCCGTAGTGGGACAGGGGTCGGCTGTCCTCCAGTCGCTTCCCCTCGAAGATGAGCCGGATCTGGTCGGGGTCGAGGCTGCCCTTCTCCCACATCTCCTGGCACGCCCCAATGCGGACCTTGGCCTGGCCCACGGTGGTATCTGCGCCATGACAGTCGGGGCCTGCAGCCGGCGACAGGTCTACGTTATAGCTCCTCCCCGTCAGCAGCGTGGCCGAAACATAGAAGGGCTCATAAGAGCGAGCAGTCTGCACGTCGTCGCAGGCCGGTGGTGTGGCGCGTTCCATGTTATGGCCTTTATGGCCAGAGTTCGACTTAGCTCCAGTATCTTCAGCTTATTTTAGCGTTTAAATGAAAATTAAATCAGGGGAGACGTGTCCAAAAAGAAGGTTGATGGGCGGACGAGCCACCAAAGGCCAACGCGCAGAGGCCACTGGTAGTGCACGTGGTCCACCGCCATCAGCAGCCTTGCCATCGTTCGTGGTGGCCTCCACCACCCTCCCTCCGCCCACGTGTACTGCCTCCCCCCCGCAAATACAATATAAAGATAAAGGCAAAAATTAAAAACCCACCTCCACCACAGTTGGTCCGCGTACGGGAGATGGAGAAGATGACGAAGAGACGTGGCCAGGGCTCTCGCTGCGCCTCAGACTCGACGGTGCACCCACAAGCTATGGCCACGCCGTGCGTCTCGTCGGCAGACCAGTACGCACACCCGCCCAAGCACACGTGTACGTGGGCGGGTGGCTGATCGGGTTATGGACAGGAGTGGGGCGGGGCGTGGGACTCGAGCAAAGGCTGGCCGTTGCACTACCACCACGGCAACGGTGGCGGTTGGCAGACACGCATACCCCTGGACCTGATCCATGCATACCACTCGGCGAGTGAGAGCGGCAGCCCTCCGCTGGAGTTCAAGTTCGCCCTCGTGAATGGCCCGGTACACGCGCACTTCATTTGTGTATTTCTTGTAAACGCGTTCTTGTCGCCGGGCTTCGTTGTCGCACCATCTGACACACTCATCAGGGAGATGTGTGGGAAGGAGGACCCAACCGGGTCCTGAGCGCTGATGCGGTTTCAGCCATTGAGAAGGCCGAGGCCAGCGGCGAGTGCACCGTGATGAAGCTTGCGTGGGAGGAACCCGATCGCGTACTGCTGACAACAGTGCGACCTACGCCACGGTATTCCGTGCACCTTCTTCTTCACCACTCCACCATGGCCATGCACATGTGTACACAGCTCATGCCTGCCACACAGGGGAAGGACAGCAGTCGTAGTGCTGGGCAAGAAGCTGTTGCCCGACGGCCAGCCCACGCCCGACCTGGTGTCACGCATGAAAAAGGCGGCCGCCATCTATCGGGTCGAGCGTCTCCAGCGAACAACGAGAACAAGGAATGCAGCGACCACCGATGATGACGATGGAGAAGCTAAGAGTGAAGGAAAGGGAAAAGGCAACGCGGAGAACGACGAATACGGCGACAGTGATGATGTGGTGGTGATTGTGACCGGCGGCGCGACGGTGACCGACAAGAACACTGAGTCGGTGGTGATGAAGCGATTGCTGGTGGAACTGGTACGAACAAACAAGATTTTTTGGTTCAACATGATCTGATCAGAGCGATCACTCACACTCGGCCACAAACATCAGGGCGTGCCAGCGGAGCACGTAGTTGAAGAGCCCATGGCCATGACCACCGTCGATAATGTCGTCTACGTCTACGAGGTATGTTTATTCCGCCTCACGCGCCATTGGCTTTTTTTAAGCTCACGAGGCCGGCAGATCGTGGAATCCTTGGGCATCGAACGCATCATGGTGGTGACGGCGGCCTACCACCTCGACCGGGCTCGGGCGCTCTTCCTGTACATGCGTCACCTGGGGCCGCCCTACCATCTCTTGATGAGCTTCGAGGGCCACGCCGCGCCACTCCCTCCCGCCGCCCTGGCACGAGAGCACGACGTCGAGTCACGGGTGCTACGCAACCTCGGCGCCCATTTGGCTGCCTATGTGCCGAGCTTGGCCTCTTCCTTCACTCCCCTCCCCCACCGCGAACAACAGCCCTAGAGAGGTGCCCAAATCCTTTTTCAAACATACCACAGCGCCCAGAAAAGGCTGCGTCCAAACAAACAAGCAAGCAAACAACCATGAACACCTAAAACTCTTCTCCCCACTGTGGTCCCTCACACCAACTGCCACCGCATTCCCCCACCCACCTTCGTCGTCCGTGGGCGCTCGCTTGTCCCGACGTCCAAGAGCCCAAAAAGAATGGCCAGTATGGGGATCGAACCCACGACCTTGGCGTTATTAGCACCACGCTCTACCAACTAAGCTAACCGGCCCTTCCTACTTCTTCCTTTCATTACATAGTGCATTGATCTAATGATTGGTATTTTGCTCCCACGAGTAGGAAACACAGCAGTTCTTGCCCTTTCTCTGTTTCTCGAAGGTTCGCTCTCGGTCCAGTCGGGGATCCGCTGCCGCCCGCGATTCTGAGGGCATTTCTGGTGGCTTCTTATAGTCAGGTAGATCAGCCAGCAGAGAGCAACTTCAGCCTCTTCTCCAGCTGGCACCCGTCCATTTGCAAGCGGCCAATTTCTATGGCACGCTTCACGGGACTTCTCGCGGAGAGTTGGCCGGACGAAGCCCGCCACACCCCAACAACCCGGTCGACAAATAAAAGGTCCTCGTTGTGGTTGCTCTGCCTTCCTTGACGCTTCTTCAACGATTCCAGACTCATCTACTTCACTTCTTATCTACACACATCTCATCTATCGATCTGCCTTGTTCGTTTTTTCACGACACGAACAGTTTTTCTTTCTCGGCTCTACTCCAATAATTTCAATTAACTCTCTTCACCTATTTGCTCGCGAGAGATCGATCTGCTAGCTTCACTCCACCACACAGCACCCTACAAACATGTCGAACACTGCGATTAGCTTGGCTTTGATTGTGGAGGACGATGGCCGCACAACCGAGGTGGTTCGTGATGGAAGCGCCCTGGAGGTGGCCCGCACCATTGTGCGAAAAATCGACAACGGCGATGATGGCAAGAAGAGCTTCGAAGACAAGGGGTACGTCCTCCCCGCCGCATGCCCTTCACGATCTTGTTCGTTTTCGTTCTCTTCTTTCCAGCCTAGGCAATTGAATTCGAACCACGCGAAAGGAGCGTGTTGTTCGGAAGCCCTTTTTTTGAAGGCGATAATGTTGGGCCGTTCTTCTACGTCGTCTCGAGTATCTTCATTCTTCGTCAAGAAGAAATGCCCCAACACAGTTCATTGCGCTAAACCTCACCTTTACGCATGCAGACATCGATTCGACGTCTGGGTGGCGGATCGTGTGGTGTTCCTTGCGGCTGCCAAGCAGGGTGCCGCCAAGCAGCGCGTGTGCTTCGAATTCCTCGGCACGATCAGACAGGAGTACGATGTGAAGGGCTACGCAGACCAGCAGAACGTTTCCTCGTTCAAGAAGTTCGTGGAGGCCCAGCTGGTACGACCTCGCAGCCGTCCCTCGACCATTCTTGATCGCACTAATTCTTGAGATCTGATCTTGGGATCTGTAAGAACATTGACTGACTCGCCCTCCTTGCCCGTTGTGGTGGTGCCCTCCAGGATCGGTTCTCGGACTACAAGAACGTTGACAAGATCGGAGCCGTGCAGGCCAAGGCCGACGAGGTCAAGGACATCGCCCTCCAGAACTTGGACAGACTGCTCGAGCGACAGGGCAAGTACGTACTTAGCATCCCCCCCAACGCTGGTTTGTTTTGGCAAGACTTCTACAGTGCTGACATCTCCCTTCTTCCTCATCTCCAGGCTCGAAGAGACGGTCGATGCCTCCGAGAGGCTGAAGGAGCAGGGCGGCATGTTCCAGCGTCTGTCGAGGAAGCAGAAGTGCATGGAGAGGAGGCGCAACATTTTCTGGACGATCGTGCTCGCCATCTGCTGTCTCGTACGCGCTCTCGCTCCCTCTCGCAGGCTCCTCTATGTGCTTGTTCTACGTCACCTGGGCTTTGTGCTGACTAACTCTGTGTGGCGTCTTGTACAGATTCTCCTGGGCCTGATTGT